ACGGTTTCGCACTCAGTATTATCAATCAGCATCTCTGCCGTCTGGTGCAACGGCCCCCTCCCGGCGAGCGGGCATTGCTAAGGCGCCGACCTGACCCCTCTATGTCCCGGCGCCCCCACCGCGTCTTCTCGGTAACAAAGTGCTTCCGGACTCATTTTGCTTCCGAAGAACAGTGGTGGCTTTGTGTGCAACACTAATAAAGAAGGTTCCGGCTGCCGAGTGATGAGGCGATCCATTTAGACTCGGCACGGTACCCTCCTCTCGGCAGCTAAATGTCTTGGGTTTGCCGCTAAGTTTATCGGGCAATAGCAGCATGGTATTTCAAAGGCGCACGCACGGGCCGGGACAAAGGCGGACACGGATATTTTGACTAGCAATTGAAGTTTGAACAAGTCGCTTCACCGATCCCACACCGGAACAATGCTGGTAGTCTTTTTGGACACATGTGCAAAATACAATTGAGAGCTTCTAGCAGAAACGATCTGCATTCGTAACGAGTCCATATTACACATCAGAGAACAGCAAGCTACCCTGAACGAAGTCTGGGTACCTACACAACCCGTGCACAATCCATACAGCGGCAGTATCCCACCAGTCTTTTTACTGAGCCATTATATCCGAAAATGATTACAAAGCCACCTGGCGCAAAAGCAGTGTTCTGATTTCCTATCCCTAACTCAAAGAACAAGATTTCTACTGAAGACTAAGAAGGGGACTTTGTCGCCGATGGAAACATGTTTTCACTCTCTGAGCTGCCTTTCAAAATTGCATGGGGTTCAACGTCAGGCGGTTCCGTTGTCTGAGAAACAAGGGGCTTGTTTTCCCACCAAAAACTAATACATATCCAAACTGACTTCGAAGGTTATTCCTGCTCCATGCTTCATATTCCACCTACCCGGATCAAACCTGCGCCCCTATACCCTTTCTGACTCTCCCACTGAAGGGAAGGGATTTGACGTGGCTGCGAAAGATATGTGATGCTCAGCCCTCTCAGCTCAACTGCTCAGAGGTATGCTAGGAAATGAAGCCCATGCCGTGCACCTCCAGCAGCTCGGAAGAATTGCGTGTTTGCGGAGACCGTCTTGGGCCTGGGCCGCATTCCAGAGCAGAGGGGTCCAAACCACGTGTCGAGATTTAGGAGAAGAAGCGAGGAATGTGGGCTGGAACTCAGTAAGACCTGGGTTCAAGATATGCAAGCCCTGTATGGCCCAAGCCCCTGGGCAGCGAAGTTGGCATTCTGTAGACATGGTCGAAATGCAGGTTCATGTTGTGAAGTGTAAACAATGCAGCCAAGATGCCGGTTAACGACCATCGCTATAAATGGAGACGTTGATGCCGCCATCAACGACGTTGTCACTTGTGGACCCTAAGCAAGGCAGAGGCCAGATCCACGTCTATCAGCCGTGCCGGCTATCATACAGTCTTTACCGCCCGAACAATGTCGCTCTTCAGCACACGTACGCTCGTTACCGCCCTTTTGTTGGCACAGTCATTCGCCTTACCCGCCCCGGAATCCAAGCCAGTCCAGCTCGAAGAAAGGAACATCTGCAACGACGGCGAGCTTGCTGCCAAGAATCCGCGCGCAGCTTTCTTCCGCAAGGTCGTGGATGAGTCAAACTATAGCAACCATAGTAGAGTACCGACGCCGAAGGATGTTCCCCTAAAGGTCGGCATCATTGGCGGTGGAGCTGCCGGACTCTACGCTGCCATTCTACTTGACTCCCTCGGAATTGACTACGACATTCATGAGGTCTCTGGACGCATTGGCGGGAGAATCTACACCTACCATTTTGATCAAGAGGCTTGGGACAAGTCCACACCCGTAGATCCTGCCTACTATGATTACTACGTGAGTTGTTGTCGCTATACAGCGCACCATTCCCTAGCTAACATGATTACTGCAGGACGTCGGCGCCATGCGCTTCCCTCCGATGCCTTACATGAGCCGCATCATTGGAAACGACTCATGGAGCCTTATCCCCTACATCAATGCGAGGGTAGCTGAACGCGACCAGGTTATTAAGAAACACTACATCTTCAGAACGGACAACACGTTCAGACGATTCAATGGCATCACCTCTCTTCTCCAAGACCCGAACTCTGCCTCCCCTGCTAGGTACGACGTTCCGGTATTCAACTCGACCTTTAACACGCAGTCTGCGTACAATGTGTGGAAGACTCAAGTCAGCAGCATGACGACAGCGCTCTCAGCCAATTTTGACACAGGTTTCAACCTCCTCATGAAGTATGATTCCATGACGGTCCGGGAGTTCCTCTTGGACCAAGGCTTTACCAACACCGAGATCGACTGGATGGAGACCATCAACGATGCCACAGGTCACTACGATATGTACTCCATGTCTCAAGCCGTCCTAGAGCAGTGGATTTTTGACAGTGCAGATATTGACAACTGGTCGCTGATCAACGGCGGTATGGACATGTTGACCAAGGGCATGAACCTCATTGTGAAGAACAAGCCCGTTCTGCACAACAGGGTTTCCGACATTAAGAAGAATGCCAATGGCTCCTTGAAGATTGTCGTCAACGGCACCAAGGAGTACGACTACGCTCATGTCATCTCAACTGTTCCGTTGGGCGCCCTCCAGGCTATCAACATGACCGAGCTAGAGCTCAACTATTTCGAAAACCATGCCATCCGCTCTCTCAAGTAAGTCCACTTACCTTCTACTTCAGCCGGGTTTCTTCCAAACCCAAGCTAACTTCGTAATGAAGCTACGATGCGTCGACAAAGATTGGATTCAAGTTCAAGACTCGCTGGTAAGCTGTTTTCCGGCCATAGCATCAAACTTGGGGGTTTAACTAACTCGCTCATTCCAGGTGGGAAAACCTCGCCACCGGTCCTTTCAAGGGCGGTCAATCCTTCACCGATCTTCCTATCCGCCGCTGTGTCTACCCCTCTTACGGCGTCGATGTCCCGGGTGCCCCGGGAACCATGATCGCCAGCTACGTCTGGGGCCAGGATGCCTCCAGACTAGGCTCCTACATGAATCCGCACAATGAGAAACAACAGGCACCTTACCAGCCAGAGAGCATCGACGTCATGGTCGACTTGACTCTGAGGAACCTGGCAGAGCTCAACGGCGTGTCTCACGAGTTTCTCCTGTCGCAATTTGAGGGATACCACGCCTACGACTGGTACGGATCGGCTTATTCCAACGGCGCCTTTGCCATCTTCGGCCCGGGGCAGTTCAGCAGCACGCTGCCGTGGTTGATGAGGCCTTCTGCTGATGGCCACATGCACTTCGCGGGCGAGGCGCTGAGTTCGGGCCACGCTTGGATCATCGGTGCGGTCAACAGCGCCTGGAGAACTGTGTTTGAGATTCTTTGCACTGAAGGTCTGGAGGACAAGAAGAAGCAGTTCGTTGAGCAGTGGGGTGTTATTGATGAGGTTGACATGGGCTGGTATGACTGGTCTCCAGAGGGGTTTCCATGAGGGCAATAGAATCTCGGCTCTAGGCACGGGGTTGCGGGATGCATGGTGCAGCAACGAAGCCAGCTAAAGGTTGCGCGCATCTGTCTTCAACCAAGTATCCGTATTTCATTGTCTACTTTTACTACCAAACTCAACAAGACATACGTAATGTTAATTCTACAATCACGCAGATATCCGTAAGGCCATCTGTGTTTTACCGCAATGCGCGTTCACTGTTTGCGAAAATTGGTTTTGGTGTTTACGGGCTTCGTATAATTACTGGGATGTTGTCCCCTGCCTTGATCTCTGAAGCTACACCAAACTACACGGACCAATCTGAGAGCCGCTCGTAGGAGCCGTCATTATGAGCCATCTCGACTCATCCACACTTCCTAATCTAGCTCACCGATTCCCCACCCAACCAGCTCCCTTTCTGATTTGAATCTCTCCGTCACTCGTTTCCACGTGCCGTCGCTTGACAACATCGTATAGTACAGAGAGACTTGAATTCCCTGGATTGTCTCGAGACGTAAGTCAAACCAATCTTTTGTCAAAGCACTTCTGCCTCTCATTCAAAGAGAGGCCCAATAATCTGACTCCATGGCAACACTACAATCATCCCCATTTCCTACGTGCAGCTGGACTCGACCAGTATTCTACCGAGAACAGCAGCCAAAGGAGCCGGAACCACCTTGGGGAGCTTACCTGGTGGGATTCTCATCAGGCAATGGGCCCTATGTTTGGGTGGCAGGGCATCACGACAGACTCAGGGGATGGATCTCAACTTCCAGACTACCAAATCCCTCTCGATCCGCAACTTGAAGCCGATGAGTTGCCTCGAGCAAGTAGTCAGGACGACAGCATCGCTGCGCTGGGGGCGTTGCATACAGGTCGGGAAGATGTCTTTCTGGGTATGCTTGGTAGCATCGAGCCTTCCCAATCACCAGGACCGCATGGTACGTTCAAGTGGTGTTGATTCACCTAGCCATCTTCTTACTGATATCCATCTCAGACTGCCAACCATCTCAAACAGCCACTCATAGAAGCCCACCGGAAAGCATTCCAATCACCTTGGATAATCCCGAGTCCATCTTCTCCTCGACCTTTTATTCGAGGAGGACCACTTCCGATCCTCTGCCTTCACAGCCCTCAGCCCCCGCAACTCAGCGCCGCGGTCACTCCGCATCTGGCACCAAACGCAAAGCCAACGGATCTCCAACCACTGACCTCGACTCGATCGATGAAGATAACGCTAATGCTATCAAAAGACAGCGCAATACTGTCGCAGCTCGAAGATATCGTCAAAAAGGCCGTGACCGCATAACGGAGCTAGAATCTGCTCTCAAAGTTGTCGAGGAGGAGCGTGACAGACTGAAGCTGCAGCTCGCGAGAAGGGAGGCCGAGGTTGACGCGTTGAGAGAAATAATGAAGAAGTAGGGTGTTACTGTCTTCCACCAGAAAATCGTACCATGTGTTAGTATGAAACCCTCATTCCTATCATTCGTCGCGGGCTGGCATGAGAAACAACATCGCTCCCAAAGTGTTTGATAATATTGCATCTGATGCATTACTCCAATTTCGATTTGGAATCCAGTGCGCGCATCGTGGTGATTAAGTCCTGAGGCGGTTGTTCAGGCTGCCTCTCTAGATGTATCATTACATCAACAACGCTATGATTTTCCTTTTTGTCCCAATTCACCACCGCCCCAACAACACCCCATGGGAATTGCCGAATCGAGTTCTGTTGAAGAGACGCAGTTCTGTCAGAATAGCGCATGAAAGAATAAAACCCGATGGATGCGCCGACATTTGAGGGTGCTGGTGTGACTTTACAGCGCCACCTTTGCTCTGGAGATTGAGATTCTGGCCTTGAATCCTTTCCATACAAGACAGCAAACTGTAACACTCGCCGTTGTCCTTTCAATTCCTCTAATTCGATCACGAAAGCCCAGATTGGATCGCACATAAATGCGACTGCTCTTCTAAACTCCCCCGGTTTCGTCTGGAAGGCGTACGCATCCCCTTTCATCTCCATTTTCAGAGGGGGGTACGCAGTAAGAACGGTCGCAGACACAGCCTTATTCCGCCTGTCAAATCGCAGCCGGGATTTCTCGGGCTTTAGATTCCAGGACTCTGCTAGAGATTCGACGTAGTACGCTGGAGTTGCCCGGAGATAGAACGTTGTCGATTGAAACATCTCTAGCATCGCAAAGGGGACCGCATAGAGTCGATCTGTATCGCGCCGATACGCCTTAGCCGCGCAATTTGTATACTTATCTTCGTCTGAAAGCATGATACAGAGACAATATATGCCGTTCGGTAAATGAATGTTCAAATCAGTCCACGCAAGCCAAGTGTTTGGATGTGGGTTCAATCCCCTGTTCGTGAACATGGTAATTGAGATACCCCGCGGCGATAACGCAGGCGGAGAGGAATCAGGCCTCAGATGCGGTTGATGAACGTCGGTAGTGACGCCATTCAGATAAGGCTTAATGCACCTGAGCATTAACTCTTTATCTGGCTTGATCAAACTTGAACACGTTGATCCTCGCATACTGATCCTTTGCATGCCACTGTCAAAATCTCTTTTAATCGCAGCTTCCGAAACATGGCTCGTATCTATTCTCATAGTGCCGAAGTCTCTCGGATGCGACGCAAGGGCCGATGGGTATATTCTGAGCGGCTGGGGCGACGTATCGTATGACGTCCAGGCCATTAAGCTGTAGCCTTCAATGGTTCTGAGAATCTCTTCTTGGAGGCGGCGGAACGCACGGTCTCCCTCGCCATATAGAAGCGGCATGTTGACGTCAAATATGCCTAACAGGCAATAAGCCATGTCTTCGACGCGAGTTGTTTCTCGGCTGGCAGCCCACTGCATTCTACTCCACACAGTGAACTTTGACAGCTTTTCTACGCCTTCTGACTCGAGAGCCTCTTTGTCGATCATGGTGTGTTCGTGGATGATACCCGAAAGATCACTCCTCGTCCCAAGAAAGGACCAGTCTGAAACATGAAAGTCGACTCTTTGCGGTGCAATAAGCTCTTGAAGAGTCCACCCTCGTGTAAACCATCGGCTCCTGAGGAAAGCATTCTGATCCTTTTTGATGGAGGTAACATAATTCGAGTCCAGGTCAGGAGCGAGATTCAGAAAACCAATAAGCGGGGCGTATCTCAATGGAGGCACATCTTCAAGGTAGGCGTAGCAGATCTCAGCTTCTCTGTACCAACGGAACATGGAGTTGATGGCCTCGGATAGCTCAGAGCTCGAAGACTTGTCGATACAGCATGTATCGATCCAGATCCAGTCAAAGCCATCACCCAGAGCGAGCGCACAAGCGCCCTTGATCTTATTCCATCCAGCTTTGATACTAGAAGCAGCCCAGTCTCCTGCTTCCGTATCCTGGAGAATGATCTCTTCCGAGCCCCATGTATGGGAAAGAATGGCGTACTTGGGTCTTTGGCTCACAAACTCCTTGACCTTGAGCGTCGTGGTGTTTAGCAGTCGCATGTTGACGGTAGCGAGAGTAGGGGTTGGCGCGGGGAAAGCAGGCAAGGTGAGGAAATTCGACCAGATTTCTAGGTAGTTCTCAGCCACGTGATGTATGCATCCATTTCAGCTGAGGCTGAGTTATCTGCATGTCGCAAGTGGTTGATTGGTCACAGTTGAACTTAGCATAGGATCATGGGATTGGGAGTTTTTCTATTTCAATTTTCTAGTGACCTTATTTAAGGAGCTTCAGTCGGGTCCCTATCACCTTTTGTTAGCCTCGCTTTCTTAGACACACTTCATCAAGTCATTTGATAACATACCAATCGGTCACCAAGTGCTCATCGAGCGCATCTAACACAGCAAGATCCTCCGGCGAGATTTCATACTCGGCCACGTTCGCGTTCTCAATGAGACGCTCCTGCCGCACACTTTTGGGAAGAGTAATCATTCCACGGTCCAGAGACCAGCTACAGAGGCGTTAATCAGATGCTGTGATCATATCGAAACAGGGATGATAACTCACCGAACAAACAGCTGCGCAGGAGTGCAGCCGTACTTCTTGGCCAGCTCCAGGATCTTGGGGTGCTTCATGCGCATGCCGCGGGCCAGCGGCGCGTAGGCCTCAATGGCAATGTTGTGCTTGGCGCAGGTCTCTCTGATGCGAGTCTGCGTGTTGAAGGGGTGGACCTCGATCTGGTTGATGACGGGTGCGATGCGAGGCTTCGATGCCATCAACTCTTCAATCTGTAAATCTTGTCAGCGTATCTTGAATTTCCAAACTCAATGCCCCAGCAGGACTCTCGAAAGTCTGAGCTGACTCACATGAGCAGCACCGTAGTTGCTGACACCACCCATCTTCACCTCCCCAGCATCAATCGCATCCTCAATCGCCTTCCAACTCGTCAAACGTGCCTCCTTGCCACCATACGGACTATGCAGCAAAAACAAATCAATGTACCCCAGCCCAGCAACCTGAACAGACTCCTTGATCGACTTGCGAACGGCGTCGTACGAGGTACTGCTGCTCGCCAGCTTGCTCGTGTAAAACACGTCGTCGCGCTTCAGACCCTGCGTGTTTTGAGGGCTGGCAAGGAAATCGGCAATCGCTTTACCTGATTCCGCTTCGTTGTCGTACATTTGCGCGCAGTCGAAGCCGCGGTAGCCGGCGGTCAGGGCCCATGGGATGGACTTTGTGGCCTCGCGGCCTGACATGCAGTAGAGACCCAACTGGATCTGGGGGATGGACTTGCCATTTGCGAGCTTTGGTCTGCGTTAGCTGATGTGCCCGGAGTTACGAGACTGTGGATAATATGGATGGTATCGTGATGACATTCAGGGTGAGAGGTGAGAACTTACTGTGAGGCGCGTGGCCAGAGTGTACTTATTGGACGCCATTGTGATGGCTTTGGTCTCACTTTCGATATCGTAGGATTCGACTTTGGAGAGAACAAAGTGAGAAGGAATCCAGAATTTACTCGGAGTTGAGAGTCGCAAGAGTTGTCGCCGACATTGCGGGCTGTACCCGCCGTGACATCACGCTGAAAAGAGGGGCGGTGGCGGGGCATCATTCCGCCCCGGTTTCGGTCTCCGAACGAACGTCTTGAAATCTCCGGCAGCCAAAATTCAACTCGGACCTGAACACAGACGCATCTCGGGAGCACACTGTCCCACCATTGGTTCCATGGAGATATTCTTGCGCTATTTCCCTGTCAAGCTCGCCCGATCCCCGAGAGGATCGTACGAGTAAGGTAGCATCAACGCCAGACCGGGCTTTTGCACCACACTTGCCCCGCGGTTTCCAACACATCCGGAGGTGATTCCGCGGCACAAACTCGAGCGCCGCCTAAAGTTTCCAGCGCTGGGTGTCACCAAAGAATAGGTATCGAGCAGACAGCACTCAACTTGCACGAACATCATGAATCGTCTATGCATTCTTCTCACGGGGTATCTAGGGTGGTTGCCTGCGACTCACTTACATCCCCTCAAAACAATCCCGCAGCTCCAACACGCAATCGCAATCTGTAAATCAAAGGTAAGTTGATGCTCAAATGCTTATGATACACCCCACGCCAAGCGAACTCAATCGTCCCACTCCTCATCCAGCTGGTCTATCAGTCGGTTCTCATCTTCACGATTGCGGCCTCTGCTCGGTGACCCAGACAGATGGCTGTATCCTCGTCTCCCGGGAAGTAGCTGTGCACAAGAAGAGGTCGCGATAATGAACATGTCCTGCAAATCATGTCAGAATCGATTCTGAGAAAAAGAGTCGCGAATACTACGTACACTGACAAAGCCCCAAATGCCAGCCCAGAGGCTGTAGTTGGGAAGCTGTCGCCAACCGCGCGCATGCGCGACAGTCCTTTGGTAGAACACGCCACCTCCAAAGTAGACGAGTACGGCAATGACAAATATGATGGCAAACACACTGCCGGGACCAACGCTACCGGGCTGGTGAGGTTCGGCTCTGGGGCACGCATGCTGGGAACGGGCCTCGAAGAAGTACGCGCAGTCATCGGGGTCTGAGCCGACAAAGGAGATATGCGCAGCTCCACCGACCTGCTCGGTATCGCAATGGAAGGAGATGGTGGCAGACTTGCGGCGCGTGGTCGAGTCTGAGTCGTCCTTGTCGGCGGTGACCTTGTTTTGGGTGTTGCCAAAGGCGCTCAAAGCCGTGGATTCCTCCTCGTCGGCGTACTTGTTGTATGACGCCCCATCATGGGCTTTGGATCGTTTCGATTTGGTCTTTCCACATGGGGAACCGTTCTTGTACTGCAGGACGAGTATGCGCCCGCGGGTCTGAATGTCCATGGATGATGACCTGAAGATCGATGTGATCAGTACTTGCGCGTCCGGTGAAGAGTTTCGTGGGATACATACCCAATGGAGTACACCTCATTCTTGTATTCGTAGAACGCGCTCACGTTCTTCGATTCGGTCTTTGTCAGGCCTTCAACGTCGTCAAGTGCCTCAATGACTGGCGCGCAAATGTTCAAAGTGAAGTTGCGGCCATAGTCCCATCCTCTGGCGTGATAATCGGTCGTGACGCCTGACTTTGATGACTTGCCCTCCTCCGGCTTGACGGCGATATCCGGCCGCAAGTCATAGAAAGCCCCGCTACCGCTCTTGGATGCCGCCGTACATGCCGGTGCACTTGTTGTCGTTGAAGACGTCGCGGTATCGGCAGCGCGAGCTGTCGCAGCTGCGAGAAGGAGCAAAAGTGTCGAGGAATGTAGGAAATGCATGATTCTGACTCTGTTTCGGTGCAATGCCGATAAGGATGAGTTGGAATGAAGGATCGTTAACGTCTGCGCTCCTGTGGACGCGGGGGTGACGTTGGCGCGAGAAGACCCCTAAGGCGTCAATTGGAGACCGTCGGTCACTGGGAACCCGGAATCGAAGCGAATGGTGTAGCGATTTTGCTATGCGACGAGAGTTAACGATGGCGGAACGTGGACACAATTCCGTTGGGAGAAGATGAGAATTATCGAGGTGCGCAGAGCAGAATGAGTTGCCTGGCCACGAAAGCCACCTTGGTCACTTCAATTCGTCAGCCTTCATCTGCAGGGAATGACGGGAGTGACCGGGGCGTGGGCATTGATTGGTGGATGGGCCCTCCTTGCAGCATCCGCCGGAGGTAGAAGGCCGCCAGGCTGCAGTGTCCGAAAAGGTACCCACCCACCTCCAAATCACGTGCATGTCTCCGTTGCATCTGCCGCCATTAGGTAGGACAGTCAGTCGCAGTCACAATCTTAGTCAGCGTGTCAGATAAAAGCGGTTCTCCGATTGCCGACCCGCCCGCACCGTACCTAACAGGACCCGCCCGTTTCTGATAGGTCCAGCTGGACCAGTGCAATGAATGTTCCTTGCAGGTGCAAGACGGGAGGGATTCCTCTCGCCGGTTTACTACACCACCAGTTAATGAAGCTTTTAAACATTCGTGTTATCGGAAAGGGGCAGTGTAGATGCACACGCAATAAAAGCTTCTTCCAGTCCTAACCTTCGGACCGTGTAGCTTTGATATCGTCCGATGCCTGGGAACGTCCCCCCGGACGCCGCCTGCCTCGGTGGAACCATTCCTCCGGGGAAGCTATGACGGGACAAGACTGGTGCTCCACCGTACAGCGTAAACCGTTTCGTAGCCCCACCCTTAACATAGCCCAATGAGACGGCTCAACTCTTTATTAGCGTCATCGAATTGAGCTCCATGAGGTCACCCGGAACACCAGAGCTCCGGCGCAAAGAGTCCTCCACAGCCCACCTGGCGATCAACAGAAACTGGGGTCGATACTGAGCTTTGAAGCTGCTGTCACTGTCGCATTCGTATTTCCACATTGGGTTGGTGGGGCATACAAATATTCCCATTTTCCTCTTCGTCTACCCCGTACGAAAACCTTTTCGCCAAAAACCCTGGATCATACACGCGAAGCTCAACACGAGCTTGTTCCCTTTCCCATCCTTATTAACCAGACTCGACAGCACTTGCTTTGGGGGAACGATCAACATGGAGTCCAAAGTAGAGAAGGACGCGGTCCAAAAGCCGCATGGCTATGAGTTCGGAGGGCCGTGAGTATTCCAGATTCTCATTGTATGAAAACCTAGCTAACCCGCGGCAACACAGTATCGGCGCCTTCGGCATCTCTTTCGGTCTCCCGATTCTCGTCTACCTCTTCACCTTCAGCTGCAACGACGTGTCGGGCTGCCCTGCTCCCTCTCTTTTGAGCCCTTCGACCCTCAAGCTCGATCAACTCAAGCGCGAAGTCGGATGGCCCGAGGAGGGCATCTGGGGCCTCGCAGACAACAAGGTAACTGCTGCCGTCTTGGGATACTACCTCTTCAACGCGCTCCTCTACCGTATCCTTCCCGCGACCGAGGTCGATGGCGTCGAGCTCGCCTCTGGTGGCCGCCTCAAGTACCGATGCAACTGTAAGCTGTGCGAATCCAAAGAGAGAGGCTTTCACTAACAGATGCAGCCTTCGCTTCCAGCATGTTTATTCTGACCGTCTGTCTCGCCGGCACCA